CCTATTTGGTCGCCCGGCACATCATATCCATTAAGTTATATTCAATTTTATCCAAGTTTAGTGTTCCATTATTTCAGCATTAATCTTCCGGTTAAAATTACTCGATGGACGAAATAATAGAATATTTTATTCCTGATGGTAGTACGACTTCAATTTACTATAATTCACTATATATTAAACCGATCATTTCTGCTTGAATCATTTCATTCAATCCATGGATTGATATTCGATTACTGCCATTATTAATTATTCTTTGTGTAATTTTAAGGAAGTGATCCCTTTTTTTTTCAACAGGACTGATCTCTAATTAATGAGCGCAACTTGGATAGATGACATTACCGTTTGACATTATGATACAAACTTGTGTGAAAAGGGGAAATTAGAAGTGAACAAACTACTTGATGCAAAGAATCAAAAGCTGTTACCGTTCAAAAATATAAATACCGTTTCTAAATCAGAAATTAATAATTATTGCAATTTTTTTTCCTTTTCATTCTTTTTTTAATATTACTGGCATACGCTGTAGGTTTAAAGCCTAATTAATTAATTAATCTCAGATAGATCGATTTTTCACCGAGGATATGTTTGATGTACGATCATTTTTGTGTAATATTGATTGCACCATATAGTAGCAGTGATATATAAAAGTATTAGCTGATATATGAGTGGTTAATGAGCGTAGTTAATGAGCTCAATTTAACAATATCTTTTGTTAAGCCATATTTAGTGTCAAATTATGGAAGTAACGGGGAGGAACGTTTCAGTAATTACAGTGATAACTTCAAACTAACCAAAATTTCCACACACTTTCATTTTCGTAGACTTTTTTTTTTAAAGAAGGTAAAATTAGTAAATTAATTAGTGCGTCATGGGTTTTCAAGAGAATATTTCACTATAAACTTTGTAAGCATAAATGACTGTCCTTGTATTGGTTCATCTTTACGATTCGCTGGATCTATCTTTCACGCTACTTTACATACTATATATCATTGATTCGATTGTCTAATCGTTTTGTTTTCTTTCGTATTATTTGTCTCTCCCTTCTCATATTTCCAGTTCTTTATTGATATTTTGATAATCTTTTAAAAAAGACATGAGAAGTCTTTTTAAAGATGTATATTCCCGAAAAATTTACATAAGCTATAAAAATAATAGTACCATCATATTGATAGGTAAAATCCACTTTACAGCTTATTAAGTCAAATGAAGCTTGACTTAACCTGTCAGTTGTTAAATTAGATAGATTAATTTAAGCTACGGAAATGTAACATTTGTAGTAGTACCTGTGTTGCTTTGTAATTACTGAGAATGAATAATTCTGAATGATTGAACAGTTTCAGGAAACATACTTTTGTCGTACTGCCATCATCTTTTTAAATAAATTTTTCTTACTAAAAAAAGAAAAAAAATAAGAAAAGAGCAAATTTAACTCTAAATTTATATGATAAATTCTGCAAGTTCGACTTTTCCTTGCAAATTGTATTCCAAATTTAAGTATTGTTTTTTTTTTAAACGAGAAATTTACGTCACAAGAAACAAAAATTGTATTAATCACTTTGTCCTAGCAAAATATTAATACGGAAGAATTAATTCTGGTAAATAGAAACTCAAACTCGTTTACTGAAAATGAGAAATTTTTGAGGTACTATAATTTTCATCGTCGTTGCACAAAGAGGAAAAAACGCTTATCAACATAACATTGAAGAGTGAAAAACAGTAGATCAGATGTGATAATAAGGGAGTATTGTAGTTAAAGAATGAAGGTGAGGGAGATAGCATTTGTTATAAAGAGAGTCGTGGTGGTTATGGAGAGTTGGAGAAATAGCGAGCAATTAAACTTCTCAAAGTTTAACAGATATTCGTATGTATGATGATGGGAGTAGGATGAGAATATTATGATGTGTTTATAGTAAAAGAGAGGAGTAAAAAGAAAGGATGATGAAAAAGGATCATCGATCATAATAAAAGCAAAGATTGAGAGCACTTGAAGAAAAACAAAATAAATATTTCTTGGTTGTTTGTGCTGTTTCAATAGGGTTGGTGAATTGGGATGAGGAGAGATATTTTGATAATCGAATTATTTTGTTTGTTATCAGTGAGTGTTACCGGTTACCTTATCATTGCTTAGTATGATTCAGTCGCTATGCTCATATTGGTTTTTATATATGACGAAAATAGCGAGTAAGTTAAATTCTCGACGCATAATCAATGGCTACTAGAATTTATGAAGTAATGTTTAAATTCTTGAGCATGCGACACTCTTGTTGAGAAGATCAATCAACAAAACCACCTACCTACCGTAAAATTTTTTGCTTCGTTTGCTTTTGAAGATAGGTACAAATTATTACTGTTAAGAAATAGAACAAGAGCGATATGATAAGAAATTTGATGTAGAAGAAGC